GGCAGCGTGTAGTTGGCCAGGTAGACGGTGTCCCCACCCGCGAGGTAGGCGGCCCAGATCCCGAAGGTCCCGATGGTCATGACCGTGTGGTTGCACTGCGTGAGCAGAGCAAAGTCCTTGCCCGGCGAGCCCTCGAGGCCGTCGCCCGCGAACACCACGTCCCCGCGCGAGGCATCGATGTTGTCCCGGCACCAGGCCATCCCGTTGCTGGTGACCACGAAGACCGGGGCCGGGTAGCGGGCGCGGAACCAGTCCAGGGCCTGCCGCAGGTACGCGCGGTCGGCCACCACCCCCTTCCACACGCGCGGCATGACGTGCACGTAGTCGCCGCGCCGCACGTGCACCCCCACGAAGGTGCGGGGCCGCGCCCCGTGCACGCGCAGCGCCCCCAGGACGGCCTGCGCCTCGCGGCGCACGTGCTCGTGCAGGCTGAACTCGCGCAGGATCTCGGGCCGCAGGTGGTGGTAGAAGGTCCAGGAGCAGGGGTAGCCGGTGAGGCGCACGTAGCGGCCCGGGATGTGGCGGTAGCGCTCCTGCATCCAGTCGTCCAGCCGGTAGTTGCGCCACGGGACGGCGCTGGCCGTGGAGCTGTGCAGGACCGGGAGGCTGATGCGGAAGAGCGGCGCCAGCGTGCGGTGCATGGGCGCGGGGATGTAGGCCGGCCGGCCGTTGGCCTTGGCCAGGGCGTACAGCGTGGCGTACTGGCCCATCTGGTTCCCCAGGCGGCCGATGGCGTTGATCGTCCACATGCCCTCCAGCGGCGGCTGGCCTCCCGAGGGTGACGCCTGTGGAGACGGTGGCGGTGCTGGTGGGAGCTCCCGATTCTCTCCCGTCCACCTGTACTCCATCTTCACCAGTCGCTGCTGCAGGTGGAAGATGGTGGAAGCGACAAAGACAAAGACGACAAAGTGTCCTCTGGGGAAGGAGAAGGAGGCCTGGGCGCTCAACATGGCTGTAGGGAGGAGGCAAGGCAGGGCGTCAGCTGGGGGTGCCACGCGGGCCAGGGGCGGGTGACCACGGCCAGCTGCTGTGTGCTCCAGCGCAGGGAGGGTGACTGAGTGTGCGTTTCCTCCACTCTTGTGTGTATGTACTTGGCGAGTGCGTGTGTACATACTCTAGGAGAACGCGCACGCAGATGTCTCTAGAGCCTCTCTGAGTATTGGGGTTGAACCCAGGACCTTCACACTGGGCTCCAGCCCTTTTTCATTTTGAGACAGCGTTTTGCTAAGCACCATGTTGCCCATGCTATGCTGTAACCATCTTTCTTTCTTTGCTTTTCTTTCATTCATGAGCTTTTTTTTTTTTTTTTTTCGAAACAGGGCCTCACGATGCCACTCAGGCTGGTCTTAAATTCACTATGTAGCCCAGGCTGGTCTCCAACGCATGGCAATCCTTCTGCCTCAGCCTCCCAAGTGCTGGGATTACAGGAATGGGCCACCATGCCTGGCTGGAGTGTGTGTTTATGCAGGTGTGTATGGATGGTGTGGAATACCTTATAAATGGTATTTCTGTGAAGAAGGATGTATGTGCATTGTGTGTGTGTCTATACATGGTGTATATTTATGGTGAAATTCTGTGCATAGTAGTGGATATGTGCTTTGTA